AGGACAGAGTAAAGGAAAGGCACTTGGGCTTGGAACTAAGGGCTGGGCCAGCAAGAAAAGACCTGATCGACTGTAGTCTGGTTGATCACCCTGAGGGTAAAACAAATTAGAAGTGTAGACAGCAGTCCCCGGTGATACATTGAGTCAGGCGGGGCTAATTAAAAAGACAAGCTGTGCCCTAGTAATTTACCTAGATGTATGTCATTTCTAACCCTGGGGTTCTTCTGATTGGCTTAAGTGGACAGTATGCCCTGATTGGTTGCCTGGCTATATAACAAAGCAAAGTAGGAGCATGAGTCTCCTGTGTGCTGCTCAGGAACTCCACTGAGCTCTACTCACAAACAAGGCCAGCTGAGGTAGAAATTTCTGTCCTGTTTAGAGTTTCCCTGTGCCCTCACTTTTATGTTCAGGGTTTTTTCTTTTCTGTTCATAGTGAGTTACTTGGTATTGTATGTTTGAGGTAAACGCATAACTCCAGACCATGTTGCTTGAGTGAATGGTGTGTTCTTTTCAGTCAGCTGCCGTAAGAGTGCAAAACTGCCTACAAACTCTTCCCTCGTCAAGACTGGAAAGGCTAGCTCCAAGTCCTTAGCAAGTTTAGACTTTCAGGTCTTGCTTAGTTTCTTTGCCTCCATTGCCTTTGTTCCAAATGCCAGAACTAATTTCCTTTTTGTAATAGTGAACACAGAGCCATCTTTGACAACCTGAACTTTGAACTTCCTGGCTCCTGACCGTTCCTGCTCAGTCATCTGTCCTGTTTGCCAGCCCCAAATCATGCTCAGCATACTTGGACTTTATTTAAATGTCTCTAAAATTGTTCCGAATCATACCATTATTATAAATGTAGGTATCACTGCTTCCTGATATTTTTTTTCTTATTGTCTTCAGGAAATAAATATAATTTTATCATAAATTTAGTTGTAGATTATATCTACTTCAGCCCCAGCTAGAATTGTGACTTTTACGACCCAACATTCAAAGTTTAATCAAAATAAAAGTCAAAACCCTGTTTTAAATAACTTAGAACAGATAAGAAAAATCAGGACTTTTTAAAATGTCCGATTAAACTTAGAAAATCGTGCAATTTGCCAAAACACAGAGTATAATCACTTCATTGCTCAGAAATGTGGCATATTTTATTGAGTAGGAAACAAAAATTTTCAAAGCAAAATTTAATTATTGACAATTATAAATGAGGAATCTTTAAAATACTACATAAGGAAAATAAGACTAATTGAAATAATTATACGTAGTTTTCTAAGGAAGTCTTGTACTTTGTAGCCTGATTAATGACCTTTGAAAGGCATTTTGGTTTTATGTATAAAGAATCACAACAATGTTTTGACTCTTTAGCCAAATCATTCTATTTCTGTCTGAGATGCTGGAAAGGCAGAAACTGTGTGCTAACTACATCAACGTTACTAGAGGAAGGCAATGGCTTGTTTCAAGGGGATGGAAAATATATTACCTTGAATATTTAGTGATTTCTCTGAAAATAAGAAATGTTACAAGTGGTGTGTGTGTGTGTGTGTGTGTGTGTGTGTGTGTGTGTCCAAGCACTAAGACATATATGGAAGTCAGAGAACAATTTGTGAGAATGGTTTTCACCTTCTACCATGTGGATTACGGGAACTAACTTGGGTTATTAGTTTTGGTGACAAGTGCTTTTTCCTGCTGAGCAATCTCATTAGCCCTAAAGGTGTTTCTGATAAAATGTTGTTTTAGTGTTAAATAGGCTAGATCTCTATAAATTGCGTCTTCTATGCATTATGTCAATAAGAAATCTAGGGACATGTACTTTTAACCCCCAAATCATTCCCTCTCTCTAAAAATTCTATTTTTCTTCAGCTCCACCATTATCAACCTGCTTGAAATAAATAGTGTTTTCTACTGGACTCTATAGGTGCTCTGACTGGTCTTTAGTCCCATGCTGGAATCTATTCTCTTTCTCTGCCTGTAGCTAAATCCAAATCCAGTGTCACACGTATACTCACATACATGCACACCACACACACACACATACATACACACACACACACCATTGCTTCAAATGCCTACCACTTTACCTGACCCCAAATGCTACACAAAACTATGGCTGGCTCTCTAGACTCTCCTCTCATTGCCACACTTTACCTTGGCAATTAACTACAGTTGACACTCCTCTGCCTAGGATGCTGTCTTCTGCCTAGAACACTGCCTACAGTTGACACTCCTCTGCCTAGGATGCTGTCTTCTGCCTAGAACACTGCCTACAGTTGACACTCCTCTGCCTAGGATGCTGTCTTCTGCCTAGGACACTGTCTACAGTTGATACTCCTCTGCCTAGGATCCTCCCTGCAAGAACCTTATGTCATTCACCTTCCATGCCATCATCTCAGAGAATCTTCATTGCTTCCCTAGAGCAGGTCCCCTTGTCACACTCTCTTGTGACTTCTTTACTTTTTTCTTATTTATGACTCACACATACATAAACATTCCTACCCCAGAAAAATTTAAATTCCATGAGAATGGGGACTTGATTTGTTCACTGTTCTTCACCCAGAGTTCAAATGTGTATTGAATGCCTAAAGTCACACACACCACTGTTGCTTAGCTAATCTGTGTCACTGTGGAATTCTTGTGGCTTTCTCCTGAGGAGGGGCCATCCTGCTCTGCCTACAGTGGTACCTCAGTATTGACATAGTAGGCTGCCATCTCCTGGTGTATATCTGATAAATTTACCATAACTATGTAAAAACACAGAGAAAAGCCACAACAAGAATAAAAACTGTTAGAATTATAAAAATGTAACTTCTCTCAAAATGATAGTGTAATAAGAATTCACAATTAAACATAAAGAATATCTCATTTAATACATTGTAATTATAGATTACATGCAACAAAAAGGCTAACTGTAGACATAGTAGTTATAATTATTCTACTGTAAAAAATTAGATGTTTCGATTTCCCTCTAGTGTATCCAAATGGCTGTGTCATTTTTACATAGCTGTAATCATAGATTAAATTCTATGTTTTCTTTCATGCTGTATTTATTTTCCTGAGATTCTACATTGCCTACATAATTATAGTTAGCAACTACATGGTATTCATTTACATTAGTATACTGGAGAGTGGTTCTTACTTTAAGATGTATTTCCTGAAATAGAATTTAGAGTGTGTGTGTATTCACAGAGAAGTAGAGATGAGTAGCTTCAGTAGCCACAGTATGGTGATGGTCATGTCATACTTGACATGGGACTGACTATGATTATTTTTTATGAGAGAATTCAAGTTATATCATGCCTGTAAGGGGGAAAATCCCTCTACATAGGTTTATGCAGGGCACCCTAAGTCATGTAGCTTCTGAAATAAGATGGATATGCTAGGAGTGGAGGAGGGTGCTAGGTTTGGGGAAACCAACAATTAGAGATGTCTCTTAGAAAATGGAATTTATAGACTTATGAGGGACATTTTAAGTGAATGCCAATATTGACTAGAAGCAGATCCTGGGGGTGTCTTTATTCTGTTAGTACCAGAGATGGCAATAGAATCAGGAGTGATTGGCCAGGGAACAGGAAGTGACAATAGCAAAAAGAAAGGCACCAGTGTAAATCTGTAGGCTGTAGACTGAATATAATGGCACTGCTGCCTAATGCTTTTCAAAATGCAAGTCTGGGCAGGATGACCCCTGGCTTCTCTAATACTTTGTATAAAACAGCAGTATCGTAGCCTCAAGCAGGAGTGAGTTACAGCCCTCTTGGTTCATTGGTTTTAACTCCAAAGTGGCCAGTTGGCCATCATCTTGCTTGCCATCTTCTTAGCAATACAAAAATCCAACACTAAAGCCAGGCCCAGTGGCTCAAGTCCATGATCTTCGCACTTAGAAACCGAAACAAAAGGGTTGCTATGGGTTCAAACCTCTATAGCAAGACCTTATCCTAAAACACAACACACACACACACACACACACACACACACACACACACACACACACACGAAATGCCCTAACACTTGTGCTTTCCAGAGGACTTTGGACAAAGGGTTACAGTTACCGGAACTTGAAATAATTCCCCAAACACTAGAAACCCCCAAATTTGGAAACCAACAAGCCCAACATTTTCATCAGTGCTAAGCCATCTGCTTTCAAGGTTGGCTGTGCTTCACCCAGAGCCATCTCCCTTTGGATTAAGCACCTATTACTTTTAAACACTTCTAGAGTCTTCTTGAGAAACAATTTGCCTTGGAGAGAGATTAGTTAAGGACTTAGAACAACTTTTCTTTGGAAAGACAGCCAAGTAAGGAAAAGCAGGGGAAGAAGAAGCCATGTTAGGATTTGAGGTCTGGTATTTCAAAAGTATAGTTAGGTGCAGACATTTGCTTTCTGGATGCTACTTCATCCATCTCCAAGTCAACCGTCCTCTACATCCTGATGGCTAACACTGTTTTCATTCATGGTCTTTGTGTTAAACAAATTTCATCATCTAAAGCCATGGATTATGTTGACAATCCACACGTTAGCTTTACTCGCTGACCACTAAACGGAGGAGTACGGGTCCCATCTGTTATGTTCCCCACAGCCTACACGGGACCTCAATAAACATTTAGTTGATTAATGTTGCCCAATAAACATTTAATGTATTAATGAATAAGTGAATGAGTAATCAGAACCAGATTATTCCGGTTTCTACATGTCATCAGGACATCTATCATTTAGTTGCTTTATTAGACCAAGTCTTAGCACATTGCTCAACCAGGTTTCTTGTCATTGACTCTATGATTATTTTAACAACCAGCAGAAACCTTTTAGGTTGTCGTGATACACAGAAGACTACATATACAGAAGAATGTGTGTAAATATGTACACCATGGTCAAAAAGGGTTCTAACTATGACAACTTCTCCTCAGGTTATTAGCCTAGGCCGCCTCTCTAGTACACAAAGTTTAGCTCGTTATGAGTCTGCTCTAATTAGGGATGGATTTGAGTAGTACATTGATATTTTTGTTTGTTTGTTTGTTTTCAGCAAACTTCAAAAGACAAAGAGGGATATCAGATGGCTTCAAGGAGCAACTGGTGAATGGTTTGAAGAAATTCAAAGAAAGAAATTTTGCAATGAAACAGATGTTAACCAGATGTTAAAACCACCACTTACATATAGGCTACAGAAGGGGATGGCAAAAAATGGTGAGAAAGGAAATAAATTTTGCTTTAAATTATCTTTTCTTTGCCTTGTGGTATACTATCATAGACAATGAGTCCAAGCATCTGCGATTTAACCAATTTATGGCTAAGGACTGTTATAAGGATCTAAAGTTTGATATGATAGTGTATACTGGACAGATGCCTGATTCAGCTCTCTATGGTTACGGTCAAATTATTTCCTGATAAACTTCAATATGGTTACCTCTGAGGATTCAATAAAATTATGTATGTTAAGAATTAGCCTTCGAGAAAAAAAAGTAAAAAAAAAAAATAAAAATAAAAGAATTAGCCTAAAGGCCAAGTAGATGGCTCAGCCGTAAATACTGCACATGTGTGAAGATCTAAATTCAAATCCCCAGAACTTACATCTGGGCATGGTAAACCAGGTCTATAATCTCATCTCTCTTGTGGAAGATAGGAACAGAATAAGGAGAATCCTCAGAGACCTCTGAACTGGCTACCCTGCCACACAACATAGCAGCAAAATACCAAGAGAAGGTAGAAGGGTGAAGACTGATCAATTAAGTTTCCCCCTGACCTCCACAACTGTCACACATATCACCACACGAAAAACTTCAAATAAAAAGAATGAACCTGAGATGATTGTGATGGCCTCTGCCTTTAATCCCAGCACTCAAGAGACTGAGGCAAGAAAATTGTCACAAATTTCAAGCCAGTCTGAGCTACAGAATGAAATCTACAGAATGAGACCTTGTCCCAACTCCCATCCCCACTCCTCCAAAAAAGGAAAGAAAGGTAGAGAATTAACAAGGAGGGTAGTAAGCATTTACCTCAACAGGAAGATGATGAAGAGGAAGAGACAGAAGAAGAGAAGGCTGTGTGTTCATAGCAGAAATAAGAAAGCTGGTGGAGAAGCTGACACTGCCCTGGAGTCTCAGTAGTCTTCAGAGTGGGTTGTAGTGAGAGCCTGCTGTAGATAGTTAGTGAGAGCCTGCTGTAGATAGTTAGTGAGAGCCCGCTGTAGTTAGTGAGTGAGAGCCCGCTGTAGTTAGTGAGTGAG